GCTGGGAATATAATAATTCAGCCCTTATGAGCAATTTACAGCTTTAGTAGTTTTTTGATTTATAATTCAAAAGAGTACAATAAATTATAGTGGTTTTTTTTTATCTTAAAGATGTATTGCAACATTCAGTGTAGATACCTCAAATATTTAACCTAGGACCATTGTAATTTCTTATTTATATTAACAATTTTTATGCATTAATAAAAGAGCTGCATTAGCTTTTCGGGTAATATAAAACGATTTTCTTCGATAGATAACTATCCGCTGTTCAATAGGATAAATTAAAAATGGTACATATAGGTATATTTAATAAAATAAATAATAAATCGAAAAAATTGTTTAAACATATTTTTGCATATACAGGGATTTCATTTCAAAACTAGCCACCCAAAATAACTTTTAAAATATCTTTAAAACAAAAAAACACGTTAATTTATATTTACGGGAGGACACATTTTACAAGTATCTGTAACCGTGCAGTTTCATCCCCTAAGCGGTGGTGAATATCACTTCTAAAATTTTAAATAGAAAGGGGTATCATGTGATAGCTCTTCTTAAAGGTCTCTTTTTTTCCAATTTTTTGACACATTATTTTTTTAAATCGGATTAATTTTTCACCAAGTTATAACCTAGAAACCGGAAAAAAATTAAAAATATTGAATTAAAATGCATGAGTATAAATACCGAGATAAACAAGTTAGCAAAAAGCCTTAAATGTTTTTTGCGTAAGATATTTTTGAACGTAAATTATAACAATTTATTATTAGTAGATTATTGGTTTCGTTGTGTACTGACAATTTAATTTTGACAATGGTTTATTCTTTACAAGAAAGAATTGAAATAATCTTTATTTATGGTGAAGAACAACGTTGTACACGCAGAACTGCTCGTGTTTTTAATCAGGGACATCCCGATAAAAATGTTGGTGTTGGATTTAGTTAATAAATTTCAAGAAACTGGAAGTGTGTGCAATAAAACTGTAAGGAATCGTAGAGTTTTAACTGAAGCTGCACAAGTGGAGATTTTAGGTCATTTTGCCATGGAACCTCAAACATCAATACCAAAAGTCTCCAGATTAACAAATATTTCCGTTGGCTCTGTGCATAAAACGTTACGGCTAAATAATATATTTCCTTACAAAATACAGCTTTTACAACAGCTTGCTGAGGATGATTATGACAGAAAATTAGAATTTTGCGAATTAATGACTCAAAGGGCAAATAAAGACCATAATTTTATTAAAAATATTTGTTTTACTGACGAGGCAGGTTTCTTTTTAAATGGATTTGTCAATAAACATAATTGTAGGTACTGGGACAATACAAATCCACATGTTTTTCGGGAAGAGCACAGCCAATATCCTCAGAAAATCAAAGTATGGGCCGGAATTCTTGGTAATAAAATTATTGGTCCTATTTTCATGGAGGAAAATTTAACTGGGGAGTTGTATTTGAACTTATTAGAAAATCTGATAAATCCTCTTATAACCGAATCCTTAGAAAACCAAATAAATCAAGATGGAAATTTGTTACTAGACGAAGAAAACTTATTTTTTCAACAGGACGGAGCACCTCCACATTATGCCTTGCCTGTACGAAATTGGCTTAATGAGACATTTCCAGATAAATGGATCGGAAGAAGGGGCGCTATAGAATGGCCAGCGAGATCACCCGACCTAACGCCCCTTGACTATTTTTATGGGGACATCTAAAAACTGTGGTGTATAAAACTCAACTTCGCGATATTCCTGAACTTAGACGTAGAATAGTGGAGGAGTGTGAGCGGATTACACCAGAGACGCTTCAAAAAGTGCGGGATGAATTTGAGCTGCGACTTTACCATTGCTTTGCCAACAATGGCGGACATTTTGAACATCTTATTTAAGTACAATGTAATTCTTTCGCAAATAAAATATTAATAATGTAAATACAATGTAAATAATAATTATTTTAATTTAAAAGGTTAAAATGGCATAACTTGGTGAAAAATTAATCCGATTTAAAAAAATAATGTGTCAAAAGATTGGAAAAAAAGGGACCTTTAAGAAGAGCTATCACATGATACCCCTTTCTATTTAATATTTTAGAAGTGATATTCACCACCGCTTAGGGGATGAAACTGCACGGTTACAGATACTTGTAAAATGTGTCCCCCCGTAAATATAAATGAATGTGTTTTTTTGTTTTTTTGTTTTAAAGATATTTTAAAAGTTATTTTGGGTGGCTAGTTTTGAAATGAAATCCCTGTATGTTTACATTTATCAACTTCTTCTGCATACACACAACTATTTATATGTATTAAACGGTAGAGACTTCTTAACAGAATCGTAAGACTCCATCTGGGTTGTAGGTCATAAATTCCGGCTACAACTATTTTGGTTGTTGTTGATCACAACTATATTTTACACTTAGCCTGTCTGATCAAAATTTATGATTAAATCTTGGCCGTATGAATAACTCAACTTGTTTATTTCAATTTTATCAGCAAATAACAATTAAAGCGCATTCCGTTAGCCAACCTCTCTAAGTTGAACATACTATGACACCACTTACATTACAAATAAAAAACAAACAATATCCTTTGGCTATAGTGGTCATATATCCGCCAAACCCTGTACATAACTCAAAGTAGTATATCAAAGGTTATGATTTTCACTTCTATACATCGAACTCAAACCCGGCGATATTGCACGCTGTTATGTAATTTTGATTTATGGAAATATTCATAGGCGTAACGAAAATAATCTCAACAGGCAATTATTGAGTAGTTTTTGTTCGTACTTGGTCCGATTTAACAAATTTACTTTGAATACTATAAAAGGTTTAACTATACTTTTCAATTAAGATCCAATTCATAATATCTAATAAAATTTATGCATTCAATATGGAATCAGATCACATGATTTACCAGCAAACTCATCCAAATCGATTGCAATAATTAGAACTAGGCAAATCAGGAGATAGAGCAATGTTTGCCTATATGTTTCGAATTGTATACGGATGGATTATAAAAGAAACTAGGGAAAAGACTTTGGCATACATGGGGTTAAATCCAAAAACCACACCGCCGTCATATTAGGAAAACATATACCGATATTTTAGGCTGAAATACATTCAATTGAATATCTGAAAGAGAGAACCTAAGAAGAACGTACATAAACATACCATCTTAATTCTCTCAGACAAATGAATAGCGTTAAGGGCGGAAACTCAGTTTAGCTAACAGGAGTTCACACTTTAAACTAAGATTACATTTTAACTGATTATTGTACAAACCGCTCTAAAGGTCTTTGTTTTAAACAGTATCAAGGCAAATCTATTCTTAAACTGTCCTGGAATACTTAATGTTATGGTACCTCATAATAAGGTAAAACTAGCATGGGTACCAGGACATGATGGTATCCAAAGAGGGATTGACACAGAGGGATCAGAACTACAATCCACAAAAACCAAACCTGTATTTGGAATAAACAAAACATCTATTTGACATGCAGTGAACAGGTGGAGAACCATTAAACACCAAAGTAACTTCATGTTAAGGAAACCAAACCTAGGCGTAACTGCTGAAGTACTCCAGCTCGCAAGGCCCCAGATATACACTATTGTGGAATTGCTAACGGGACATTGCTTACTGAAATACCTTTATATGGTGGGGTTACACAATGATCATAACCCTTGAATACTCTGGATTGAAGAGGAACAAACCTCATATGTAGGCAGTAACACATCCTTTTCAGTATATAACCGGAAAGATTGCCTCATAAATCTTAATAAAAAACCTAGTAAAACTAACCAAAGACAACGAACTATTCAAACATATTACCTGAATACGGAAAAAGCAGGATAATATGACTCTAGAGGCTACAGTGTTCTGAGCTAAATGTAACCCTTCCTGCTAATAACCGATAAAGATAAAGAAAAGATAGAAACATGAGGTATCTTATGCAATATAAAAATATTATGTTTATTCTTGTTTAATTTGATTAAGTTATCATCTTCTTTTCAAGAATTTGTCATTTTTAATATTTTCTTGTATTTATTTAATTTAGTTTCCACTATTTGCCTTTTTCTTCTTTTCTGAGTTTCAAATAATCTCCCTTGAGCTTGTATTTATACACCCATCTCAGCTGAGTCGCACTAAGCCGTCATTGCACGAAAATGGAAGTTTAGTTAAAACTCCTCTAGATTTCTATGTGGATCCGGCGTTCGACGAAAATTTAGAGATGGACAGTAGCAAATCCATAACTTTTAAGTACATTTACGGATTTGTTACTGCCCATCTCTGAATTCACGCAATATAACCGAACTTCAATTTTGTGCGAAGACGACTCAGGTAAGTCGCACTCATGAGATCTGTTTATAAATATGGACCTAAATCTCTTTATTTTTTATATAAATAATAATAAGACATAAAAATTTTAAAGTAATTTATAAGTTAATTTTTTATCAAAGAATAAAAACTCAAAATGTTGGGCTTCAACAAAACCTGTATTCCACGTGACTAAATTGATATCAGTAACATTAATAACTTTAGTAGTAACCCTAATCAATTTCACTGACCTCTTTGACAGAGCTGGTACTTAAGTTGTCATAAAAGCGACCAAAAACGGTCATTTTGCTTAAATTTATTTTTTACCAAATTACGTAATATAAGCGTATTATCGTTAGCATTTCCTCAAATTGTATGTTATTTTGAGAGCTCTCAAATTCTGTAAATTATTAACCCTACTACACCAAGGAATGCTGATACGCGAGATTGATATCCTACCATGAGTTTTAGTTTTTGTATTGAGTACTCGTAAATTAATATTACAGATTCATAAAGTCTGAATCATACCAGCTTTATTGGGTACTCATTTGGTTTTATTTTACAACTGCAAGCAAAATGTTGACTAAAGTATTTTTAAATAGCGTTGTACTTGAATTATTATTTGGTCTTCCTGTATTTCATTATATGCTACGCCTATGGGAAATATTTCAATTGTTTATGTTTGATTGCAGGCCATGGAGGCGTCAACCAACTGGGTGGAGTCTTTGTGAACGGTAGGCCTTTGCCGGACGTTGTGAGGCAGAGGATAGTGGAATTAGCTCATAACGGAGTCCGGCCCTGTGACATTTCTAGGCAATTGAGGGTGTCCCATGGGTGTGTTTCCAAAATTCTTTCAAGGTATGTATCTACTTTTTAATTTCATTTACAAAATAAGAATGAATTTTATAATCAAAATAAACACTGATCCCGCAAAGAAGCCTCACCCTTAATTTCGATTTTTAAGAAGCTTGTTATCTTTACACCGGTTTCGACCATCTAAGGTGTATTCAGGCATAGATAGTGCTGATGACGACACCAGAGGAGATTTGGCGAGATACAAGAAGGTCGAAACAGGTCGTTAAATGACAAGCTCAAAATGTAAAATAAGGGATAATTATATAATTCTTTTTCTTTTTCTTTTTCTTTTTCTTTTTCTTTTTCTTTTTCTTTTTCTTTTTCTTTTTCTTTTTCTTTTTCTTTTTCTTTTTCTTTTTCTTTTTCTTTTCTTTTCTTTTTCTTTTTCTTTTTCTTTTTCTTTTTTCTTTTCTTTTTCTTTTTCTTTTTCTTTTTCTTTTTCTTTTTCTTTTTCTTTTTCTTTTTCTTTTTCTTTTTCTTTTTCTTTTTCTTTTTCTTTTTCTTTTTCTTTTTCTTTTCTTTTTCTTTTTCTTTTTCTTTTTCTTTTTCTTTTTCTTTTTCTTTTTCTTTTTCTTTTTCTTTTTCTTTTTCTTTTTCTTTTTCTTTTTCTTTTTCTTTTTCTTTTTCTTTTTCTTTTTCTTTTTCTTTTTCTTTTTTTTCTCTTTTTCTTTTTCTTTTTCTTTTTCTTTTTCTTTTTCTTTTTCTTTTTCTTTTTCTTTTTCTTTTTCTTTTTCTTTTTCTTTTTCTTTTTCTTTTCTTTTTCTTTTTCTTTTTCTTTTTCTTTTTCTTTTTCTTTTTCTTTTTCTTTTTCTTTTTCTTTTTCTTTTTCTTTTTCTTTTTCTTTTTCTTTTTCTTTTTCTTTTTCTTTTTCTTTTTCTTTTTCTTTTTCTTTTTCTTTTTCTTTTTCTTTTTCTTTTTCTTTTTCTTTTTCTTTTTCTTTTTCTTTTTCTTTTTCTTTTTCTTTTTCTTTTTCTTTTTCTTTTTCTTTTTCTTTTTCTTTTTCTTTTTCTTTTTCTTTTTCTTTTTCTTTTTCTTTTTCTTTTTCTTTTTCTTTTTCTTTTTCTTTTTCTTTTTCTTTTTCTTTTTCTTTTTCTTTTTCTTTTTCTTTTTCTTTTTCTTTTTCTTTTTCTTTTTCTTTTTCTTTTTCTTTTTCTTTTTCTTTTTCTTTTTCTTTTTCTTTTTCTTTTTCTTTTCTTTTTCTTTTTCTTTTTCTTTTTCTTTTTCTTTTTCTTTTTCTTTTTCTTTTTCTTTTTCTTTTTCTTTTTCTTTTTCTTTTTCTTTTTCTTTTTCTTTTTCTTTTTCTTTTCTTTTTCTTTTTCTTTTTCTTTTTCTTTTTCTTTTTCTTTTTCTTTTTCTTTTTCTTTTTCTTTTCTTTTTCTTTTTCTTTTTCTTTTTCTTTTTCTTTTTCTTTTTCTTTTCTCTTTTTCTTTTTCTTTTTCTTTTTCTTTTTCTTTTTCTTTTTCTTTTTCTTTTTCTTTTTCTTTTTCTTTTTCTTTTTCTTTTTCTTTTTCTTTTTCTTTTTCTTTTTCTTTTTCTTTTTCTTTTTCTTTTTCTTTTTCTTTTTCTTTTTCTTTTTCTTTTTCTTTTTCTTTTTCTTTTTCTTTTTCTTTTTCTTTTTCTTTTTCTTTTTCTTTTTCTTTTTCTTTTTCTTTTTCTTTTTCTTTTTCTTTTTCTTTTTCTTTTTTCTTTTTCTTTTTCTTTTTCTTTTTCTTTTTCTTTTTCTTTTTCTTTTTCTTTTTCTTTTTCTTTTTCTTTTTCTTTTTCTTTTTCTTTTTCTTTTTCTTTTTCTTTTTCTTTTTCTTTTTCTTTTTCTTTTTCTTTTTCTTTTTCTTTTTCTTTTTCTTTTCTTTTTCTTTTTCTTTTTCTTTTTCTTTTTCTTTTTCTTTTTCTTTTTCTTGTTTTCTTTTTCTTTTTCTTTTTCTTTTTCTTTTTCTTTTTCTTTTTCTTTTTCTTTTTCTTTTTCTTTTTCTTTCTTTTTCTTTTTCTTTTTCTTTTTCTTTTTCTTTTTCTTTTTCTTTTTCTTTTTCTTTTTCTTTTTCTTTTTCTTTTTCTTTTTCTTTTTCTTTTTCTTTTTCTTTTTCTTTTTCTTTTTCTTTTTCTTTTTCTTTTTCTTTTTCTTTTTCTTTTTCTTTTTCTTTTTCTTTTTCTTTTTCTTTTTCTTTTTCTTTTTCTTTTTCTTTTTCTTTTTCTTTTTCTTTTTCTTTTTCTTTTTCTTTTTCTTTTTCTTTTTCTTTTTCTTTTTCTTTTTCTTTTTCTTTTTCTTTTTCTTTTTCTTTTTCTTTTTCTTTTTCTTTTTCTTTTTCTTTTTCTTTTTCTTTTTCTTTTTCTTTTTCTTTTTCTTTTTCTTTTTCTTTTTCTTTTTCTTTTTCTTTTTCTTTTTCTTCTTTTTCTTTATTTTACGCCTTTGTTACAATCGAGTTTGGAATTATTTTCTTTTGTACCATAATAAAGGGTATCCAAATTTGACCTTTAATTTAATAATAAATCACAAAAACCCTTGAAGTATTATAATGTTATTATATTATTTTATAGTTTAAATGTTGCGGTTAATAATGAAAAATGATATCCGGCATGTGACCCCTTCTGCTTCTTTAGAATGTTAACATTCTTTTTCCAAAATTTTCAATAATATTTTCGCAAACATTCTGTTCAATTTCATCAATTTTTTAAATAATATTAACTCGAAGCTGTTCAGGTATTTGAGGGTTATTAGCATAAACTTGTCCCTTCAAAAAAACCAACAAGAAATAATCCAGTGATGTAAGGTCGCACGACCTAGGCCGACAATTAACCTCAGCACTTTGAGAATTCGATTGCCAAATCTATCCCTTAAAAGATTTAGTGATTTATCCGATATGTGGCGAGTGGCACCGTTTTGCTGGAACCACATGTTCTGGATATCCATACCTTCTAATTCGTTCCACAAATAATCTCTAATCATTGGTATCGCGCTCTATTCACAGTTATCGTATCATCTGCTTTATTCTGGAAAAAATAAGGACCAATAACCTCACCAGACCAAAAACCACACAGTCGCATTTACTGGATACAGTCGTTTTCCCAATATTTCTCTTAGATTTTCTTTACCCCATATTCTGCTGTTGAAATCTCTTCATAAAACTCTCAATAACTTTAACAGATGGTGCTAAATTTCTTCCAAAATGCGTACGGCATCCTTCTTGCGGTTTCAGCAAAACTTTCCCCATTTTAGTAATAAGTTTTCACAATAAAAACAAGTACCCGCAAAGTTTTTACTTGACATATGTCACCATAGAAATATGGTTAATAAAGATTACCAAAAATGGTGGTCAATTTAAATCGGAATGTCAAATTTGGACACCCAATATATAAAATGTATTAACTTAGAAATTATTATAACACAAAAAAGCTAGGAACTTTGAATGTCAACATCTACACGATTTTTCAGTTTAAATCGGAATGTCGAATTTGGACACCCAACATATAAAATTTATTCATTCGAAAATTAGTATAACACGAAAAAGAATTGAATGTCAACATCTACACGATTTTTCAAGTTCTAATCAAACAAATTTGATATTTAAACGCTATCCACTTAGACAAAAATAATTTTCACTTTAAGTATACTCCCATTATGAAAAATAATAAATTAGTAGACAAAAGGTATTAAGAAAACAAAAATAAATACATAGCGAGCATATTACAGTTTTCTTTTACCAATTTTCCCATCGTAATTTCCAGGTAGAGTATTGTACATTAAAGAGATTAACTTAGTTATTTAGTGGTTTGACAGAACCACAAACATTGCTTGAAAGACATTTTAATAAATTAATTCCATAAAATTTATTAGACTAATACTTTGGAAATTCAATAGGAAAATACAGTGCGGTGACACGTGTCGTCAAAAAATTACATGACAACTGCATTAAGCCACCGTCCTCCGATACTCACAATGGCCTAACTACTTCACTTCGATGCTCATATTTCTTTCAGGAATAGGGTTTTAGAAATATTCTTGCGGATAAGTTACTAACTTTATTAATATTTTTTTTGAGAGCTACATTTTTCTTTTTTATAATCTTCAAACAAACATATTGTTGTATATTTTAGAGAAATGATTGAAATAAATAACAAAATCAATAGGTACCTCATATACGGAGTGATAATTTAAAACTTTACAATGTGCTATATCTCTCAAACGAAAGACGATATCAATAAATGCCTAAAATCAATTTTAGGATAAGAAAAAAGAACTAAAATGACATAAAACAAAACTCACCCCCCCATCAACCATCTAGACCCTACCTATCCTAAAAAAGTTTAAATAACAAACCCCTACTTATGATACATCATTGAAAAACATATAAAAATTGCTATCCAATAATAATTTTACAGAGTTAATCAATAATTGTGAAACCATGCCTTAAATGGAAAATTTGATAGAGTTTCTGTTGAATTACAAATTTATAAGCTCTCTTTATTATGTCATTTTAGTTTCCCCTTCCTATCCTAGAACAGATTTTAAGCATTTTTTGGTATCGTCTTTCGTTTTGTAAGTTTTTAAATTGTCACACTTTATGTATTAAAAACAATTAACTGGATACTGGTTTTGGAATAAGGACCACTATCCGGTCTAAAAAAGAGAAAAATATTGAGATAACGGTGCAAGCCTTATAACAAGAGCAACTACTGTTGGTCAAAGATTAGATTATTGATGTATTTGGCAACCAAGATCTAAATCATAAAGGCAAATTTGTAAATTAACTGCAGTAACTCCATGCAAGATTAATAAAAAAACGAATGCCTATTAAATTAAACTAAAGCGGGGCGGTTGGGAAACTTAATTTCTATTTCCTCTAAAATAAAGAGTTGATGTCTATAACTAGTTTTATTCTTCTAAAAAAATTACAGTTTCTGTTTAAAAAACGATATAAAATTAATAAATACATTGTAGGAACCTAATCCAACGGTAACAGGGTTGAAAGTCTTCAAAATTAGAAGTAGAACGAGTGAGAGCAGTACGA